GATATGACAGTTCTGGAGATGGTGCCTGAGAGAAAAAAGTTGAGAACTTTCCTGCAAGGTCTGAGAGCCAGCACCCCCGCCCGCCCCCAAGTTCCCACTTGGTTCTGAACAAAGCATGGATTAAGGCACATGTTTCTGCCACCAGGAAGAAGAGAGAGAGTGTTGTGATTAAGGCACATGTTTCTGCCACCAGGAAGAAGAGAGAGAGTGTTGTAGGCTCCTAATCACAGACATGTGGCAGCATCAGGGGTCCCTACCCTCCCAACTCTTTGCTGACTAATGCCTACTCCTTAAAATGTCCCAATTCCATAAGGAACTCTCATACCCTTAAACTTAATCCTGGGCACATGAATACAGGGCTGTGGATCTCTTCCAGAAAGAGAACTACTGAGCTTTTAGTAGACTAGTTGGTTGATGTTCTGGATGCCTACAGTTGTAGCGTAACACTTTTTCCTTGCTTCCCCCTTTTGCCAACTCTCATTACACACTAGGTCTTGTGATAAAAATTGACTTAGGCTCTTAAAGGTAACTGAAATGCCTTATTCTTCAGGTTACAAAAACCTTCCATGTACAACTTTATTTTCTGAATTATGTTCATTGAGGTGCTGAATGAAAGACCAGTGCAGGTGGTCATGGAGAAGGCCAAACAAGTGAATATGGAACCACTTTCAGATAACCCTGTCATGTAGGAGTCAGGATCTTACAACAGGCTGAGCTGAACTTAATGCCACCTCCACTGCTGTCTTGCTACAGCCACCCATAAACTGGATATGGAGCTCAGAACCCTCAGTCTAACAACTGCTGACTCTAGAGAATTTAGCAGCAAAGAATATCGGGGAAAATACCTAGTACCTCAAATCTTGCCTCTTGATATTTCAGTGCCATAAATGACCTGTGAGAAATATGTACAATTCACAAGTCTAAGAAACCCCTTGCCTCACAACAAATAACACAGAAACAAGAGGGAAAGTATTCCACATCCACTCTAGATATTGCTTTCTTGACTTTTCAGAGTTCTCAGCACCACCAGGTGGTTCCACGCAGATGATGTTTCACAAGGCATACAAAACACTCTATGTTCCCCTAGAAATTCACAAACACCAAAACCCTCCATTCACTCTCCGACTCCCAAGATAAACACATTGAAGGAACATCCAGTGATTACAGAAGCTAAGACAAAAGTCCAAAAAAGGAACAAATGATTTCCAATGCAAATACCTTTTAGAGCTGTGTATAAAGACCAAAGGGGCAATCTGCAGATAACTAGTTCTGGTTGTGAAGCCTCTAAACAAAAAAGCAGGGTAGGTAATCCCTGAGGTGGAGTTCAAGGAATGCTTCTAAACTGGGGTTCACGTGACCTGAGAGCCAAATGATGCTGGTACCCAAAGTGTCAGAGGTAGTTTTAGATGGGCAGATTAGAATGAAAGGAGTCCCCTACCCACAAAAGACTGGATTAAATTAGGAACAAGCTCATCTCAAAAGAAAAAAATGGTCATAATATTTAAAGCTGAGATAAGGCAAGTAATACAGTCTGTGTGTCTGTCTGTATTTATGCAGGAGAAGACAAAAATCAAGTAAGGTTCAAATGACCAGCTACAACTGTGTGATGTGTAAGGAACATGAGAGATGAAAAAGTAGTTATTTTGCTAATAATCATAAAAGATCCTATGTAAAACAGTGGTCTTAAAGCTAATATATACATGTCCGTGGAGGTACATGAAGTATCATATCAGTTCTCCTTTGCCAGTCTCCCCTTTCACAATTGCCTTTTACAAAAAAAATGCATGCCTCCCACATATTCCTATAGTGGTGATGAAACATCAGGGGTACAAAACAGAAAATTACAAATAGAGCCAACTGTTTTTCCCTTTTTATAAATAATTTTGTTAAAAGCATACAGTGATGTCTAAAAAGGAGTATTTTGGCATGTGATAGAATACAATAAATTCAGATACATATAGACTGGGGCTGCTGAAGTATATTTTCATTAAAACGAACTCAATTATCCCAACTCTGATTATTAAGAAATGCATCATTCCTGAGGGGGGTCCCTCAGGAATGTAAAAGTAAAGCAGACAGTATAAGCAATATGTGGTGATTCCTTATTTCATAAACATAATAAACTATGGCAAGGCTCTGTGCCTGATCGATATATCTGAGAATTAGAATTCAGAGGCATGATGGTTGTCAAGGTGAGGTGTATCAACACATTTATTTGAATTAAAAAAGGGAGGGCCGGCCAAGTGGAGCATTGGTTAAGAGCTGGCTTGGGATGCCAGAGGGCCCCAGTTCAGATCCCACATATGAGGGCCAGTGACACTGCCCTCTACAGCTAAGATGCTGAACAACAGCTCAACCTGGAGCTGGGCTGCCGTGAGTCGCTGGCGACGGCGTAGGCTGCAGCCCCTGCTGCAGTGGGTTGCCATGGGCTACCGTGTGTAGCCAGCAGCCAGCGTGAGCGGCCAGCAGCCGGAGTGAGCGGCCATCCAGAAGCCGGCGACTGATCTGCCTTGCCTGGGAAGAGCGCAATGATGGTGCCAACTTGGGCCAGTGAAGCAACGTCCTCCACAACTAGACGGAAGAACAAAAGGACAGCAACTTGTCTGTTCCCCTTCCCCCAATTCCTCAGCACTGTTCCCATCCCCCAATTCACCAATAAAAAATCTTAAAAAAAAAAAAAAAAGAAAGGGAGTCACTGACTTTCTGATTTAAAAATATACTGGCAAATGTGTTGAAATCCAAAATACATCATTTTCTGTACCCTTTCTAAGTATATTAGATTGGATACCATAGCTAAAGGAATGAGTAAACAGCATAATCAATAGTTATTTGATATGTCTTGAACAGACAGACTCTTTGGGATACACGTCCCAGAAAGTGTGAAGTAAATAACTTGGTTAAGAACTTGGTAAGAAATCCTTCTGCAAGTCAGAAAGCTTCCAATTCTTTCCTTTTGACAAAAGTGGAGATCCTAATCAAGTTACTAGTTTTCAGATCATTAAAAAATGATTAACAAAATGATTTCATAAATAAAGGGGGAGAACAGATCAATCTGTGCAGAAGAATGTGAAATAATTTATACAGATATCCCAGCCTCAAAAAGATATAATTCCCCACTCCTTGAAGTGTGGGCTACACCTATGACTTCCTTTCAAAAAGTATACAGGATGGAAAGGGAGAAAAGACTAACTTCACAGTGGAGAAACCCTAAAAACAGAGTCTCAGCCAGGTAATGAATATTAACATCAACAGTGATAAGTCACATTGATAGTATGCACCCTTGATATAACATGATGAAAATGTACAGTTGATCCTTGAACAACACAGGGGCTGGGGGCGCCGACCTCTGCACAGTCTAAAATCCATGTAGAATTTTTGATTCCCCCAAAACTTAACTACATTCGTCCCTCAGTATCCATGGAGGATTGGTTTTAAGACCCCCCCATGGATACCAAAATCTGTGGATGCTCAAGTCCCTTATATAAAATGGCGTAGAACAATGGACGCATACAGTTGGCCTTCCAAATCCATGGATTCCTGAAAATACTGTTTTTGATCTGTGGTTGTTTGAATCTGCAGATGCAAGACCCGGGGATACGGAGGGCTAATGGTATATTTATTGAGAAAAATTCTGTGTATAAGTGGGCCCGTAAAGTTCAAACCGTGTTGTTTAAGGGTCAGCTGCACTTCACCTCTGTGGTTTTCCTCCTCAATATTCATAACCCCAGCCTAATAATCAGAGAAACAACAGAAAAACTCCAATTGGGGGACATTCTACAAAATACCTGATTGGTACTCCTCAAAAATGTCAAGGTCATCAAAAACCAGGAAAGGCTAAGAAACTGTTACAGTTGCCCAAGGAGACATGCCTATGAAATATAATGTGGCATCGTACATGGGATTCTGGACTAGAAAAACGACATTAGGTAAAAACTAAAGAAATATGAAAGAGTATGGACTTTAGTTAATAATGTATTAATATTGGTTCACTAATTATAATAAATGAACAATACTAATGGTTAGATAACAATAAAGAAAACTGGTGAGTGTAGGGTATATGGAAATTACCTTTACTTTCTTCACAATTTTTCTGAAAATCTAAAGCTGTTCTAAAATTTTAAGTTATGTTAAAAAAACATCTTTGATGACAAACACAATGAAGTATCACATCCACCAACTAGAATGACTATAATAAACAAACAAATGAAAACCCCACAGATAATGTTAATGAAGATGTGTAGAACTGGAATTCTCACACACTACTGATGGGAATGTACTAATTAGTGCAGCCACAAAAACATGCTGGCAGTTCCTCAAAAAGTTAAACATTGAGTTACCATATGACCCAGAAATTTGATTCCCAGGTATATATCCAAGGAAACAAAAACATACATACATGTAAAAACTTGTATACAATGGTCATGTGACCAACCCCAACCTATACAGACTAATACTAAAGAAACAGATGACTAAATATCCATCTATCAAGACAGATAGAGCAACAGATCAATCAATAAATAATCAAAGGAAATCACAAGAAATATACAAGACTTCCAAATCTTAAGAACATCCACATATGTATATAAAACAAAGAAAAAACGGATGATGGAAGCTCTTTTAAAAGTAATATATAAAGTCAACTTTGTTTGTAAGGACTAAGACATTTCTGCAAAAAATAGTAAGAATTCTAGAATAAAGAAGCAAACAATCCAAAACACGTAAGTCATGAGATCCAAAGATATAGGATGGAACTTAAGACAACAAAAGAGGGAGAATACAGACTAGAAAAATTCTTCCAAGGTGACCATAGAGAAATAACTAACATATGCATTGATGCTTCATAAATACAACTCTTCAAAATGATGCATACACGCTACTTGAAGCTCTAGCAGGAGACAAAATGACCAAGTATAAAAAGGGTTCTTTTGTACTTGTTAAAAGATAATATCCAATCTTAAGGAACACCTAAAAGTCAGATTATTTCTTATGTAACCCCTTACCTGACATTCTGAGTAGGATTCCACCTTTCGGAGGGCAGTTCACCACTCTGTGGGTCATCTACAGGTGGATGAAGAATTGAAATGCATACATCTCCATTCTACAAAACACAAATATCATATTCAGTAAATACTCAAAAATTATATAAAAAAGGAATATCAGTTCTGCTGAAATTTCTTTTCTCCTACAAAACTTGTTTTCTTATCATTAGGTGAGAAAACATTTTGCTTTTTCTTCACATTGGGAATCAGTGTTAAGAATTAAACTTTTAAAAATTGTAAATATTCATTTTTGACCAATCTGCAAGATATAATTTTTAGTTAAAAACAAACACTATGTCTGTAGTACCATCCTTCTAAAAAATCATTTCAAAATAGAAATAGACAAATACGATAAATCAAGATTCAAGAGTCTTGACAAGCAATTAAATATCTCTATTTTCAGATACATCTGTACCTAAAGGCCATAAAAAGAAACAAACAAAAATCTGTCCTTGCTTAAAATCTGCACAGAGATGCTATAATCAACTTTAGTATCACTGGTTTTAAAAATTATGGTTTCTATAAACTGAAAATATGCCTCAAAACAACTTAACTGTAATACTCTCAGTATACAGATAGAACTCCCCTATAAAGTTTTAATATTTTGGTTTGTAAATTTAAATTATAGGACCTAACCCATAGTACATTTAAGTCAAACACATATGAATTGCTTACCATATGCAAAACAGACTTCTATTCAATAGAAAGGATTGAGTAAGATAAAGTCGCCTATCTCTTGTTCTAAAATTAAAGATTCCAATTTTTTAAAAATTAGAAGTATAACTATATAATGTGCAAAAGTCTTACATATACAACCCAAATTTAGACATACACAGATACATAACCACATCAAGATATCAGAACATTTTTAAAAGGACGGTAAAATTTTAATAATATCAAATAATATATTGTAGAGTTTGGCTCAAATAAACTCTTATTTAAAATTTAAAAAAATGTTCTACAACTCTTGTATTATTATTGGATGTCGTGAGAATGATAAAAAAAGATAACAAAAGGGCCGGCCAAGTGGTGCGATGGTTAAGAACTGGCTTAGGATGCCAGAGGGCCCCGGTTCGGATACCACATATGAGGGCCAGTGACACTGCCCTCCACAGCTAAGATGCTGAACAACAGCTCAACCTGGAGCTGGGCTGCCATGTGTCGCCAG